GACGCGACGCTTACTGTGGTAATAGGCAATGTCACCTACACAACACACATACATACATATGTACACGCATTCATACAAACCAAAATTAGTAACTCTGTTCGGTGAGAAATGGCAGTAAGAATTAGCCAGTAATTAAATTGAGAGGGTAAAATATTTTACTCTCCCAAAGAAAGAAATTTTCGGTGCATTTACCAAAGAGAATTTAGTAAAAATTAGGTAGCAAGTTGTAAAATAGTTATTTATTGTGCCGGTTGCACTTTATACCGTTAATTTATAGATACAGTTTAAATGTATGCCATTATCAGGCCTATTCTGTCGAGGTAATAAAATTTACTTTGGTATTAAAATTTACCATTCAGTAAATTTTGTTACTATTTCCTATTTTGAGTTCACTGTCACGCTGTAAATTTTGTTACCCGCGAGAGGTAACAAAAATCTGCTGTTTGATTTTTATTTTTATTTTAAGTCATTTACATATATAATTCAGTTGTCAAGATGCAAATACTGCAAATTAGAGCAGGAGTTCGGCCGAATATCGCTTCAGCAGTTACAGAGCGCCAATTATATATATAGGTATATATATATATATAATTCAGTTACAGCAAACAAAAGTACATTGAATTACTGCACAACTTAGATCTGGATATTGTAGCAGATTAAACTCCTACCTATCCAGACTCGATCCCAACGTATGCCCAGCGAGGAGAGTCTCAGCACGGCACTAACCACCTCTTCGCATGCCCCTTAAGCCGACACATCTAACTTCCCTGTCTTTCTGAGCCGATATCGTCGAAACAGCACCTTAGATGACCTCGGTGACTAGATTGATTTTAAACTTGTTGCTAAGCGGGGTTAACGTAGCCGCTACAACAACAACAACAGTGAAACTTCCCTCTAATAAGCGGGCAACTGTATGAAGTAATCACTTTTTCAAAACCCTTCAACTTTTTGCCTACAAATCCACCTCTGTTAAACGGGCTCCTCTATTTACCGTGCAAAAAATTCGGTCCCTGGGAAGTTTCACTGTATAACAATTAAGAATTATTGACGAAAATGCAACCATATGATCGCAAATCAGCTGTTTTCTGTGCTACTAGCTGAAATTCTCCCAGCACGAATATTGAACTTTATCTCGAAACTTAACGTAGAAATTGTGCTCTCTCGTTACGAATTATAATGGTTTATTGCCTCTCCGAACACTATTTAGTAAAATTCAGTAGCAATAGCTACTGCGCGCCACATCACCGAACGGGACTAATATTGCGACAAAAAACAAACAGACACACCCATAAACACGATCAGTGGCTAATAAAGTCACAGTGTGGACGCAGCAAATGTTTATATGTACTTATATAATATAAAGAATTTTTTTTTATCAATTTATTTATATATACATACATATGTACATACAAACATGTATATTATGTATGTATGTGATATTAACTTATTTTTTTTATGTCGTATAGTATTTTATTAAAGGCTTAACGCTATTGTGATATCGCGACATCCAGACTCAACCAAATTGGTTATTATCTAAATACTAATAAGTACATTTACGCAACCACAATCACACACATACACACATATGTATGTGCGTGCATATATATGTACATATGTATATCAATGCACACTTGTTCAACCTGAAAAACCTATGGCTTTTGGAATTCCATAAACGGCGCACATGCATACATACATATACATTACATATACATATATATATATATTTATATATACATATGTGTGTATATAAAGATATTTGCGACGTGAGTTCGATACAAATAGGCGAACAGCCGTCAATGCATACAATAAAATTAACGAGAGAGTAGTCGGTGTAGAAGATACATATAAAATACATTAACAACAATAACAAAATGCTTAGATATGTACATACATATGTATGTATGTCTGTGAAACTGAGCCAAGTTGTTGAGATAGCTTTCTAATTTAATATTAATGTAACATTTTTTTTATTGTTTTTGTTTATGTTTTAGCGATTGACTTAATTAATATTGTAATTTTTTCTGTTCACATCATCTTCGGCACGGTGAGTTTATCTTCTCACTACTTGCTATCTATCTATCTATACGTTGTAATTTTGTTTTGTTTTTTCTTTTACACCGTTGTATGTATTTTATTTTGTTTCGGTTTTTATGACATTTTCAAACAAAACTATATCCATTTGAGGGCATATACTCGTACATATATATGAACATTTGTATATAAGCATATGTGTGTAGTAGAGCCGCTTCCGCTTAGTTGGTAACCAATTTTGTGTGTGACTTACCACAACGGATGGTAATAATCGAGGGGGCAGAGGAAGTTGCTGTGAGTTTTAATAGATAAATTTAGTTTTTTTTTTTTTTTTTTGATTTTATTAAATTCCGAAAGTGGCGGAACTTACACTACAACCGCCTAAGGGGCTTTTGTCTCTTCGTATATTTATTTTTATTTATTATTTATTTTAGTGTGGAGCAGCATACGCTATATAAGCATTCCCTGACCGACGTTGACGTCTTGAGACTGTATTTCCAGCCAATTTTGTTGACAGAAATTTATGAGTCTTACGAAATATCAGGTGTAGTAAAAAGAAATCCATTTTTTTTTTCATTAAATTGAAGGCTTTAAATTTTTCTTTTCGTATCCAGTCTTATTCAAATGGTTCCAAATGGCTTTTTATGCATTCTTTAGCTCTTGGGCAATCGAAACAGTGCTTACATGACAGTCGGACGAGCCAATGCACGTGATTCTATCGACATTTTCGACTCCATGAAGCAACTTTTACATCAAATTTACCGGAATGAGTCGGAAATTGCGCATGATTGACTGTAACAGTATCACGAAAAACTGTAAAAGTTGGCGTATTTTATCTTTGCTCGTGTCCATCTTTGACGCACGTTCAAACAGAACTGAATCAACCAATCACGAAACTCTCAGAAAAGCTTTTTTTAGTAGAAGAAAGATGACATTTTTCTAATGCCATCCAGAGGGATCCGATTGGACTTATATAACGCGATATACAGATAAATAACACCATATTTGGAAAAATAATGAATATTTTTAAAACCAACATTTAAAATTATACATACATACATTTTCTAAATCAAATACGAAATTTTGACGCAAAAGAGTGAAAACTTTATGCCGAACGCCGATTTGACTGTAAACTATTTACAAGATCTACTGCAGTAAGTTTATATCGCTAACATTCCGGGTCTGCTTGAGACTTTTTAACTACTAATTCCAGCGGCGTTTACACCGAGACACGAAAAAACTGACGATAGACGAGGCATTGTGCAGCCTGCAAAGTAGGAAAACTCACAGCTGTAATCACCTGATCGATTTCATTTTTCATTTCAATTGTCACTCGTGGTTATATTTCCGTTTTAAGCGCCGAATTGCAAGAATAATTTTGATAAGCGACAAAAGAAACCGACAAGAACAAAGAAACAAACGTAAAATGGAGTTAGGTTACTTTATCGTCTCTACAATTGACGAGAGTAAAAAGGGAACTCAGGTAATTTATGTGGTTAATGATGATTTTGAATTTGATTTCCATCGAACCTTCGTATTGTATTAAGTATTCTGTTAGTTTTTTTTTTTTTTTTTTTTTGGTTTAACATAATTATTATACTTAATATTGCCACATGAAGTATGCAATGTATTGTAGTTAAATTGATATTTAGCACGTTTTCACGTCTTGTTCAATGCTTAAAGACTGTAACCCGAGATTGTTTTGCCTCCTTTATTTATTCATGTTTGTATTTGTACAAGCACTTGTTGAGAAATCGGCAAGCTTTGCTAATAAGCACGTTGTGTTAATTACAAACATAATTTTTCTATGATTCTTTTTTTTTACTGACTATGGCGGCTTTTCATAGATGACCGCATTTCATAGGCGAGACAATTTGTTTTTTAAATAAATATGTGCCATTTTAATACTAAGCTCTGCGATCAATGGGGAGGAAGCAGTGCTGCTATCGGGAAACAGAAAAGAGAATGCCAGGAATGAGTTTCATGGGTAAATATTAGCCGGTTCGGCGGAAAAATGGTCTCAAATTAAGGTAAGCGCGCAACCATGTTTTTCTAACAAACAGAGGAGCCTATACCACAAACCGCCTTCAAAGGAACTTACATTTCATGTCAGAAATGCGCTTAGAGTGGTTGACATTCTCCCCCCTGTGGGTTAGGGGCTTAAGAATTTACCCGCGGCAAGGCATGCCTGGCGTAAGAGGCGACTAAAATCCAATAGTTCCCACAGCGACAGTCAGGTCTTTATACCGGAACGACCCGGATTTTTATCCGGCCAAGGACTGTCACTCCCGCAGCATTCCCCTAAAAGTAATTTGTGGAATAGTTTTTGCGGTTACAACAACAACAGCAACAGCAACAACATAAAACAATGTCATATTTATAGAATTTATAGTCTTTTTACTATACTTTTACACGTCGAGTGCCGGACCCTGCAACTATGGATGTTGGTCGAACCAGGACTCGAAACCTGATCGTCCTAATGTTAATACGGAATGCGTAACACTCGGCTATTGCGGCCACCGAAATTAAATATCGCATAATAAAATATAATATTTCACACGAAATAGCCACAATCGGTTTATAAACTATTTTTAATATTTTTATCCGAATCAATTCCCCTTGCATTCATTTATAACAGTTCGTTAAAAAGAAAAAATTAAGTTATCATTATAATTTATTATTTACATGCAAATGTGCATACAAAAGACAGTGACACTGACAGCTACAAAGACAGCGGTAATGACAGCACACGGCCTCAAGGTCATTACGTCATTTGTAGGGGCGCAACAGAAATCATCAAAATTTTTAAAAGCGTGATAAAAACAAAAAAAAAACAATAACTGAGCAATTCACCGTTTTAACAACAACACCATTCCCAATTACTATTTATAAAATATTAAGTAAAAAAATAATAATACTTATTAAAAAACAAAAAAAAATATTATTAAAAAACATCAACCAACACGTACACAATTTGTGCTTCTCCAACGCCTTGATTTTTGTAATTTTCGTTATAAATTTTATTCGTTGCTTCTTCTTAACTGACTACTCACTTTTGCCTTTACTTATGTTGAATGTGTGTGTGTGTGTGCGGTGTAAAACTTATCGAACACTTTTTAAACTTAAGCAATTCTTATTTGTTGTATTTATTAATATTTTTCTTTGGCCTTTTTGCACGTCAGCTGCTTATAAAAACTATATAAATATGTATGCACACATACAAATATAAATGAACACACTGCGACTATCGAAAAACACACCGCACTTGCCGTACACCCGCGTACCGCTCAAATGTTCTCGTCAACTCAACTTTTATTTTCTTATCGCACACGTCTTACACCCTCACGTCTCGACGTTTAATTAATGATTTGTTTTTTTCTGTTTGGTATTCGTTATTGGTTGTTGCTTCGCTTTGCCGCACTCTGTTCGAAATATTCCCAAGTCCGTACCGAAACGAACCGAACCGATCTCCACGTACTCAGTTATGCGAATGAATAACAAACTTGGTTGGGTTATTAGTCAGTGTGGCGGCCTGGAGCTCCAGTTGCTTGTGCCAATATGTATGTATGTATGCATGCATGTCTATACACACACGCATATATATTTAGATATACAAATGGTTGTCGGTAGAAACGCTCGATCATAAATTGGTGGCTGGAATTGATAGTGAGGCTAGTGAGCGGGCCAATAGGTAGAGAGAGAGAGAGAGAGATAAGAGTACATAAAAAAGTTGCGTTAGCATTCAAGAGAGCATTTTTGAAATAAATCTAGCTCTCTTAATAATTTCTCTTGTAAACATTAAATTTCACACAGCACACAAAGCCTTCAGCTCAAGGAAGCACTTCCACAAGTGTTGATATTGAAACGACTATCTAAGCAAGGATCTATAGCTTCGTTATTGCTTGCCTGTGGGTTGTAGTGCGTTCCTCTCAACAACTAAACAACTTGGTTAAGTTTAAAACATGTTAACCCGGTTGAAGTGATTTTAGAACAGAGATTCGCAACATATTTTAATCTAATCGCCAGCTTAACGAAATCGTAAATGAAAAACTGCAAACGTACCAGATAATGGGAACATGAAAGTTTGTATATTGAATTTTAATCAATGCCCTTTATATAATGTGACTCCTAAGAGCCTCTTTAAGGAATAAAAATGTATAGGAGGCAGCTTAGGTAGTTAATGTCAATTCAGAAACGCAGTGATATGTGGAGGGGAGTGTTTTGGTTGAGAAAACTCCATTAACCAACTTCCTAGAACTTGGTGGTTCCTGTGGCGGCAAACAACCAGCGACACTACCCATCAGAAAATAGCTGAGTCACCTAGCGAAGAGTGTAGAAATTCAATTTTTTATTCTCTTCACCTTCAATCGCATTCTCTCTGAGTCACTGCGATGGTTAATACAAATTTTGTATAAACTCACATTTACTCACATACAAAAGGGTCAGCGAATAAATATAGTTAAAAGCAGTATAAACTTTATATCTCGCACTGCTGCTGATAAGATTTCCATTTAACAACGCAGATAAGTGAAAAGAAGTAAATAATGGAACAATAAACATACATGTATCAGCTGCAAACCTAAAAACGAATATCAAGCAAAACTTCATTTGATGGCAAATTATTTCAAGAGAAAGCCAAATTTCCAGTTCTGAGTCTATACTTTTAAGAACCAAAAATACCATCTGGGGACTGTGGTGGAGGCCACAGAGAGGAGAGAGGATTTTACCGACCGGCTCTACTGACCATCAATGTGGCTGGGTGCTAAAATTGAGAAGGACGTCACCGATCTGTTCGACTCTAAGCAAAGTTTCAGAAAGTTTTTATTCTCTCTTCTGTAGTTTCTTTGAACCGTGAAGAAAAATCATTACGATGCTGACAACATACTAACAGCATTAATCTCAGCAAGCGAGTCTTCAATTTTGCTTACTATAATCGACGAGTAATTAGCATTACAACGAGGTTCTCCAATCGTTGACGATGGAACAAATGTTTCATTGCTCGGCTATGAGGAAGCAAACGCCCGCTTGAAAAACAGTAAAGCTGGGGGACGATGGATTATCGGTTAAGCTATTCAAATACGGCGGTGAAGAACTGATCAGGTGTATGCACCAACTACTTTGCAAAATATGGTCGGATTAAAGCATGCCCGAAGATTGGAGCCTAAATCTGCTCTGCCTATAAAAAGGGTGATCCCACAGTCAGCGCCAATTACCGTGGGATATATCTCCTTAATATCGCTTATAAAGTCCTATCTAGCGTTTTGTGTGAAAGACAAAACCCACCGTCAACAAACTGATTGGACTTTATCTATGTGGCTTTAGACCTGGTAAATCTACAATTGACTAGATATTCACCATGCGCTAAATCTTGAGAAAGCCCCGTGAAAAAAGATATGACACACACAACCGCTTCGTCGATTTTAAAGCAGCCTTCGACAGCACGAAAAAGGAGCTATTTCTATGTCTGAGTTCGGTATTCCCACAAGCCTTATACGGCTATGTAAACATTGAGTAACACTAAGAACTCTGTCAGGATCGATAAGGACCTCTCCAAGCCGTTTGATACCTAACGAGGCTTCAGACAGGGTGATTCCTTATTCATTGCTGGAGAAACTTAGAAGAGCGGCATATGGAGGGTACAATCTTCTATAAGAGTGCAGAGCTGCTGACATACGCCCATCATATTGACATTATTGGTCTCCACAAACGCGCCGTGAGTTCTGCTTCCTCCAGACTTGATAAAGAAGCGAAGCGCATGGGTCTCGATATCAGATGAGTCGGCGTTGGGCGTCTTAGGGAGAAAAGTTTTGTGCAATAAATATTTATAGTCCTTTTAGCATTGGCAATGACGAATACCACAGCCGGTGGAATGAAGAGCTCACCACCGAATATAGCTTTAGCGGTTATAAAGCGATTATAATATATCCCGGCATCCTTCTCCTCTCCATTGATATATTTGCCATCGCTCTTGCTTGTTTAGTTCGCCTGCTGTGTCGTGTTGAGTAAACGTGTGTTCGTGGTGCTCGTCACGAAAATGGAAAAACGAAATCAAGAGCAACGCGTCACAAAAAAATTTTGCGCCGAACTGGATGAAACAGCTTCGGAAACGTACGCTAAAATTGTGAGAGTGCATGGCGCTCAGGTGTTACGAAGGTATAAAGAATTTAATGAGTGGCTCGAGGCGGGAGACCAGTCGATGTGAGGAGGAATCGTCCAAAAAAAATTTCTTCCACTGGGGCAAACTGTAAATAAAGCCTACTATCGCCAAGTACGCCACGAGCCAACAAGGTATGCCACTCGGTGTGACACCGCTCTTAACCGTATCCTTCATCCCTACAACGCGCGGTGTCACACCGCTATCATCATGTACCAGTATTTGGCATCTAAAAGGACCGCCTTATTCGCCCGGTATGTCACCCAGTGACTTTTTTTTGTTCCCTAGATCAAAATCGGTGTTCAAAGGAACCCATTTTGAGCCAGTCAGTTGCTTTGAGAACATCCATACGGCCGTGACGATTGTACTCGTGGACATTCCAGTCGATGGGTTCCCGAAATGTTACGAAGCATGGAAGACCCGCTAAAATCGTTTTATAGCTGCCCAAGGGGACCACTTTGAAATATACGTTTTTTAAGGAATCAAACTCATTACTTCATTGTCACACCGCGTATTTATGTACATAGTCCTGAAAAAGAAAGAAAACAAATTTCTGAAACCAAATAAGCAATTACGGCACCCGCGGAAGAGAAATCTGGCGATCTTGGATTTACCATCAGCACTAATGTAATGCTCTCGTACGACAAACAAAGACCAAACTCTTAACCATATGAAGGACTACATCAAATGCAATATTTTTATATAAAAACTAACGATATTGTGCTCAGTGTTCCGTTCTAGGCATGGCGGTCGTTAGAGCAATGGTTACAGCACTCGCCTGGCCTGCTATGAACGATATGAACGATCCTCATCGGCGAAGAAATTTCAAGGGGAGATGAAGGAGATGAGATGCTCTAATCAGATGTAACTTTTTTCATCTTTATTTTAGTGATTTAATTTTAAGTGATTGAATTTCGGTAAGAGCACCCAAACTTACCAAAATTAAAATAAATATTAATTTTAAACTAAAAAAAAATGCAATTTAATTGAATTGAATTGATGAATTAAAATTATAGCAAAATTTATAAGACTCTTTAAAAGCTGCAAATGAATAATACAGTAATTTCACTTATAAGTATACGTATGTATTTGTATGTATGTACATATGCAATTGTCACATATAATAATTCAGCATTAAGTTTAATTGTTAACCGGATAAAATGAACCATATTTGTATGTATGTATATACATATGTGTTTAAGTTAAAAATAAGGTCACACTCCGCGTAGGCTTGAATTAGCCTAACACACATTAAAACGCCACACCCTTCTTCCCAACCCATATGACTTGCTGCCCGCGCTCTAATCACTCTGTTTGGCTTGTGCCTAACGCAAGTCCAACTTTTGATCTAATTAAATAGGCGAATCTCAACGTTTTCCAAGCAATTACTAAGCACTTTCGAAGCGCTCACGTATTCTTAATATTAACAAAGTTTTGTACGTACATACATATGTACATATGTGCATACATACATACGTTAACAACAAGGTCTGCACCACAGTAAACTCCGCAAACAAACAAAAATAAACAAATATTCTTTTATTTTCAATTATAAAAACGGTTGCCTGTGTATGTGTATTTTCTAGGAACTATTTATCAGTTTGTTCCTTTGGTTCCCGACAAGGTTTGTGAGAAATAAATTTTCCGAGACCAAGGGACCTGTTCAAAAATTTATTTTTATGGCTTCGATTGGTAAAGTTTCTTCCAACATCTAAGATTTATGGCAAACTGCAGAGCTGCAATTGAACTTCTCTTGAGGCGATTAATGAAGGGTTTTGGATGATTTATTAAACTCAAAACTTCTTTGGATAGAAATTGTCTTAGTTAGTTTTGGCTGTTGTACCGCAAAGCTGTATCCCATCGGTCAAAATTAGTTTTATGATAATTGAGTGGGTGAGTAACTAATTTTGGGTAGATTTTGAGCTACGATTTTTGAGCAAACTTCTGAGCCTTAAACCGAGGGCCCTCCGAGTGTATTTTTGACATGAAATAAAGACTCCTCATAAAAAACCATTAGCCGTTCGTGGGCAGCTTAGACTAAACTCCCTCCCTAGACTACGTCCCTCTATTTGTTGGAAAAACGTCAAGACGCAAAAGCACAAATCGGAGGAGGAACCCGGCCGAAAATTGCTTCAGTAGTGGTTACAAAGGGCCAATTATATGTATATAATTTAAAGGGAGAAACTTTTTAATTAATCTTGTATAGTATTCCATCGTGCTAATCCCGATGGGATGCTTATCATATAACGAGAAAAGCAGATATTCAATATTTCTTTTTCCTCAAATACTGAACATATTTTCTCAGCAGATCTATGAACCTGTGGATGG